CTCTCTCTTCTTCTTCTTCTTCTCTCTCTCTCTCTCTCTCTCTCTCTCTCTCTCTCTCTCTCTCTCTCTCTCGCTCGCTCGCTCGCTACAAATCAACTAACGAAAGGATCGTCTCTCTTTTTCTCTCCATTTGTTCCAGGTATCACGCACGGCTCTTACATCGGTTATTACGAGGTGGCCTCCTATGATACCGCGGCCTTGAGACAACATCGTAACCGGATGCGCCGCGATGTCTCCAACGATGTGGCCGACAATCGGCCTTTGCTGCTGCAGTTGAAAGCGCTCGACAAGTGAGTTCTTTTTTTTCCCCTCTCCCCAAGTAAAAGTAACTACGTGCACGCGGCCGGGTCACGACACATTTTTCCCGGGCAAATTGCAAACGCGAAATGAACACGACATTAAAAGATTCTTTAACGAATTACCGTGCCAGCCACGAAGCTTCCTCTCCTTCGCCGCTCGGATCAAAGAGAGACAAGGCGGCCTATTTTTGCTCACAATTTTTCTAACCCTTCTTAAAATCCTCGCCATTACCAACCAGTCTCGTCTCTCGTTATAAATTTTTTTTTCACTCGCTTAAAGCGGCAGGTTTCGGGGCAGACGAGAATTCTTCCTTTCGAGAAGAATAATACTCTTGGAAAGCAACCATTTCCTTTCTTCCTTTTTCCACGTCCACGGGAAAGTGGACGGCCCGATTCTTAAAGAGATTTTCACCCGTGTGTTGGAATTCTTGCTCGATAAATTCTTAGACAACTTGTCTGGCTAGGTCGATAGACCTAGAATAACCGATTAAGGTCAAGGTGCGTGTTGTGCCCTCGAACGTAATTTAAATAGGATGACGATTCGGATTTGAAAGGGATAAATTTCGAGCCGAGTCGACCGGGCGAATAGTGAGAATAAAAAAGAAAAAGAAAGGGAGAGGATTTTGCACGCGGTATTACATTTATTCGATTTCGTCTCGTCGAATTTTTGTGTTGCGTTCTTCTCTTACGCTGCGCGGCATAGTTGTGTTTGCTCGATCGATTTTCATTCGAATAATCTTGAAGAGACGCGAATACTCTTTTGAGAGTAAGTTGGAGAATTATTATTTTTTTTTTTTTACTTTTCTACTTTTTTTTTATCGTTTAGATACCCGAGCTTAAGATAAGCGATTTGAATATTCGCTCAATCATTCTCAATAACAATTGGCAATCGTTAGTGAAAAATAAAAGTGTCGAAAATGTGTGCGCGACCTTAAAAAATCTGCTGGTATGAAGATGCACGGGCAAAGAGTGGATTAAACAGAGTTAGTTGACTACTACTCTGAATACTTGGCATTATATCAAGCCTGGAAAACAAAGCTTTCCTGACATTTGGAAGCGATACAACGCGGAGATAATAGAATTCCCTTTGTTTCCACAAAATTACGTTATATTTGCTTTCCTGAATTTCTCTTAAATGAAATTAATTACAAAACCGGACAATATAAATTTTCCAGCGTAAACGTCGCGAAAGGAGGTGCAGGAACGGATTTACAATCTTATCTCGAGGAATAAATTTCAAAATTTTCGAACTGACAATTAAAATGCCGTTAACGCGTAATCTCTTCGCCAATTAATTTCTCTCGCGATTATATCGGAGATACCGCGCTCAATTTTTTTATTTATTTTTTTTTTTTACAAATCCATCGAATCCGTTACAAAATACAATAGCTTTAATTTCCATTGACGCGCGAGCAATTGGAATTTATGAACGAAAACACGACGACGACGGTTTCTACAACGGTAAAATTTCTTCCTCGAATTAAAATAAGCTTCTGCGAAGTTCAAACTTATATATATATATATATAGGTAGACTAATAAAAGGACTTGCAGTCGATTGATCGTCGTGAGCCGGGATCAAACAACAGTAACTGGAAAGTCAACGGGATATATCGAACCGCAAGAGCAAGCAATTAGACTCGGTTTTTCTTTTCTTTTCTTTTTTTCTCTCCTTCCAATTCTAATCGCGTTTTCATCCGCAGCTCCTCGAATCCGTTCCATTCCCGCCTTTCTTCTTTCCATAAACCCAGATTGAAATCAGTTCGAATCGCCTCTTATCCTCCGCCCCGCCGAAAAGACCAATTACCAGCTGCTCGATCGCTTAATAGCAATTAACCAAGATCTATTTATCTACCGCGTCGGTGGAAACGGTTGGAGAGAGAGAAAAAAAAGAAGCCATGACGAGGAGAGAGAGAGAGAGAGCTTTGATCTCCGCTCCGAATCGAGGCAAAACCAGCCCGACGGTTAATTAAATTTCAGTCGCGAAGGACGCGCTCGGCCAGAAACGAAATTGCCTTTCGTCATGAATTCGATCCGTTTTCGGGCCCCACCCACCCACGCGCCTCTCCACAGCTTCGCTCGAGTTTCGCATAGCCCGCGTGCCGCACACACTCGCCTCTTTGTCCCCGCGTACCACGCGACAAACCGGTTTCCTCCTCCTTCTTTGGCGAGAGTTTGCGCGAAAATTCTCCTCTCCTCGAGGAAAAGGGCGAATCGGCTGAAAAGGTTCCCTCTCGGCTACTTCTTCTTCTTCTTCTTCTCCTCGCGCGATTCTCTCGGCGGAGTGAATAACCGGGGAGCAACGTGGGCGTTCGTCTCTTTATGCAAATCGGTCGAATTCACGGCAAGCAATAAAATGTAAAGCAGAGAGGTAGATGGAGATCCCCTCTCTCTCGATGTCGTACCAACCGTACCTCCTCTTTTTCTTTCGCCACTCTCCCTTCGTGTTTTCACCCCTCGTGCACCTGGTACAAACTGGCAAGATAACTGGAGGGGAAGGGATGGACTGACACGCGCGCACTCACTCCCTTCCCGTACGCGCTCGTGAAAATCGACGCGATTTAAAAACTCACCGGTTTATTGCGTACGCTTCCTTTGTCGCGACGGGAGCGGAATTTCCTCTCTTTTCCAGGGAAATTATATTTACGAGGCGAGTCATCGACTTTGGCAAACTTTTATTGTCAATTACGCATTTCACTCGGCGCCGATTCTCCTTTATTTATACTCCCTCGCTCTATCATCTATCGCTGCCATGTGTCTTTTCATCTATAGAAGCAAAATTCCGTAAAACTCGATCAACATTTTTTATCAATCGAAGGGTTTGTATACGGAGATACACGTGTAATTTGGTCTTCGAGAATCCCACGGACGTTATTTTAACGAAGCGAAATTCCGATTAGAACTCGATCAACGTCTTTATCAATCGAAGGGTTTGTACACGAAGATTTGGTTTTCGAGAATCCCACGGATGACAATACGAACGTTGTAGGTTATTTGAACGGAAATGCAGAAGTTGGATTCGCGGAGCATCACCCCGTACAATTGCATTGCCAACGCACACCGAGCTTGCCGAATATAGTCGGCAGACTGAATGGGCGAGATCCAGTTTTGCCGCACGTGGGCACAGGTTGCGATTCAATCGTGCACACGAAGGCGTCTAATCACCGACGGCCGCGAAACAAAAGACGGGAGGTTGCGCGCGCTTTCGAGGATCCAAAAGTCGCGATCCAAAAGTCGAACGCTGTTTCCATCGATTAAATATTTGATTAAATGGAATCGTTTCAAAACGAAATTGCATCAAAATCGCGCGATTGATACGATAGAAGGAGAGAGAGTAAGAAGTAAAGGAGCAAAGAAAATTCGTTCCTCTTTCCCTCCCCCCAGTTGCTTCTACGTTGAAATATACACGCGTGAAATAAACAAAGGCATTATTAGATTTGGTTGATCGGATTCTCCGTTATTATTGGATTCGTCGCGAGGGGATTCGATGGAGCGTTTTGGCCGATGGTTTTAAAAAGTTTATGAGGGATCCGTGTTGCTCTTTCAGGGATTACCAGGGGCTACGAAACTGACTTTTCAGAAGTGTCCGAGCGAGATAAGCTCGGCCGCGAGAATAAGTTGCGGCTATAAATCGGCGATATCGCTTCCTTCCCCCACCGCCAACGAATAACTTGAAAGAATCAACGTCAACCTTGAATCACTCGAGGAACCCAACCAACCCCTCCTTTTTCACGAATCTCTTAAACGGGGCCAATTTGGCGGAACAAAAGCGCGGCAAAGGAGGGAATAGCGCCGTTATCGGGAATAGCTATGATCATCGAGCAAGGAGAATAATTGGTGAGAGAGATGCGGCGAGACCGGTACAAGGATCCACGACTAATTGTTGCTCTTCCGTTGATACCTTGCGTAATGCCGCCGCCTCGTCGTACCGTGCCTCGTTTCTTTATGGTAATGCGCCGTATTAAATTCTTTTCGCCAGACAAAGGAGCAAAGGATCCTCCATTCCCCTTTCCCGCTTCGATTGTGTAGAACATCGTGGAGAATTTCAAACGAAATCTCGTTCGCCGCGATACGAGAAATTCTACGAATCCGTGAAACCGTTCCAACGATTATAATTTCGCCATATTATTTCCTCCCAATTTGCATCCCTCGTCTTTAATCTAATCTCCGCTTTTCCTTTCTTTTCCTTCTTCTTTTCCCCTCTTTCCAATTTTTTCGTTCGTATTCTTTTTTTTTTTTCTTTTTTTTTTGATTTTCCTCGTATCATCGATACAATCCTCGATACACACCGGCCGATCTTGTTAGCAAGGATAATTCGATAATCCTTCTTCATCCCTCCGTTATTTTTTTTTTTTTTCCCCTAGCATTCGCCAACAACCGACAACTTTGGGATAATCGAATATTTCGCCGGCCTACGCGTATCTCGAATAATCCTGGCTCGCTGCGAATTTAATTAAACCTAATCCATTTACCCTCGAATCCGGGATTATTCCATCGCGCGCTCGTTCGCGTATCCCTGCCCGATTCAATGTCACGCGCCGCGTCCAATCCTTTCCGCGCTTCCAAATTTAATATCCGCTGTTGAAAACTCTCCTCGATCCACCGTTCTCGGCCTTGCGTTCGAGAAGGAAGAATCGAGGGAAGGGCTGAGCTCGCGTCATCGTCCAGCAATCGCTGAATCACGTTGCGCGTCGTGCAACGACACCGCGCTCGACTCCTCCACAGATTTCTCTTCCGATTATTACTCGAGAACAGGACTCCGGTGAGAGGAGGAGGAGGAGGAGGCGGCGGCTTCGACGACAGGTTCGATCGAGTGTGGCTAAATGCTGATGGAGAGTCGAAATCTTATTCTCGACTTTATTTCGAAGGTTTTTCCGCAAAAGAAGCGAGAGAGAGAGAGAGAGAGAGACGCGTTCACGCGTGGAAATGTCGAATTCGGAGGATCGTCTCAGGAATTCAGTAAGAGAAATGCCGAGAATTTTTAGGAGCACTAGTTTTCCTACAAACCTATCTGTGTAAAGGTCGCTTGTTTGCCCGTAATATTGCATCCGCGATTACCTTTGCGCCGACGATAAACTTTCGATTCGTTGAAACGCGAGACATCCAGGCAGCGTAGGCTACGTGACGAACGAAACGAAATAAATACACCATGCATGCGTGCACCAGTCTTCTCGTCGCACGAATACGCTTCTATTAAAATTAACCCGTAATTAATACGAATACGCCGATCGATACCTCGTTCCACGCCCCCTGCTCGAAGAAACAATTTGCACGTGCTTCGTGAGAAACGCGAAGGCGAAAAGGAAGATGATATCGTGATTTTTGTTTTTTTTTTCTTTTTTTTTTGCGTGTCGGAATATTAGAATATAATGCTCCATTATTATTATTATTATTACAATAACCGATTATATAACTTGTTTTCAGACAATGGACATTACGCTTGGTTCGAGACAGGAGCCTGTTCAGCCAGGACGCGACGTTCGAGAACACGAACGGCCCCATCCACTTCGACACGTCGCACTCTTACGTGGGCACCGTGTTGGGTGAGTTTTGCCACCAATTTCCGCCCACCTTCGATACGTTCCAATACGATACACACACACACACACACAGATAGGAATTTGAATTCCGGTGGAATCGTTTACCACGCGAAAAGAGATTTTTCGACCGACCTTTGAAGTTTTTCATGGACGACAGAGAGAGAGAGAGAGAGAGAGAGAGAGAATCTAGGTGCAAAGCGAGAGCCTCGATGTATGCGTGTAATAAAGATGAAGGGTAGAGAGAAACCGTGCGAGAACGCGTGGTTGAATGAAATTTTTGAAAATTGACTTTTTAATTTTAATTTTAACGCACGGTAGAGAGAGGGGGGGGGAAAGAAAAAGAAAAGCTTGAAAAAATCAGGAGGACTGCTCGCTTGAAAACCGGCGTTGAACCGGTACGAGTACGTGTACACAACGCGGATATATATTCCTTTTTGACGGTGTGTGTGTGTGTGTACGCGCCTCGCTTCAAACGATCCTGCGTTTTCGACAACCCGATCCGATCAACACGGATATATCCGCTCTCCCGCCGCTTTTTGCTCTCTGGAATTTCGTGTTCCCCGTCGAAACTCGCGGACAAAAGCGTTTTGTAGACAGAAAGGAAGAGAGAGAGAGAGAGAGAGAGAGAGAGAGAA